GGGGACGTTAAGGGCAACAGGTGACAAGTCGCGCCCGAAGGGAAGGTCTCCGCTCCGGAGACGACAGGAGCTAGAGGTGCCCCCTGAGTCTGGCCGGCCCTCCGCAGCACTTACTCTCTCGTGGGTCCAAGGCGTAACAGAACCGAAACTTTCTGCGGCCAAGCGGAAGAGTACCAGAGCTCAGCGTAGGCGGCCATGATACGCAAACCCCTCCGCAGACAGGCGCGGACTACAACTCCCGGCATGCTCCACAGGGCCGCTGTCTACAACGCCCATTGGACTTCATGGGCAGACGAGCGCGAACTACAACTCCCAGCATGCCCCGCAGAGTTGCTGTTTACTACTTACACGGGTCCCACCCGGGCAGGGGGCCTTAAATTAACTCTTGCAATCTCTGGGGTCATGCAGGTCTTTAAACATATCCCTGGGATCCTGTAGGCAGTGATGTCCGTATGTGGCTTTTAAGAGCTTGAATTGTGACTAGAGCTGAACTGTACATGTGCTGTAAGTACAAAATACACCTGAGTTCCAAAAAAGTGTAAAATGGCTCACATTTTTATATTGATTCCATGTTGAAATGATTATTTTTTAAAAATGTATTGGGCTAAATAAAAAGCATTATATACTGCTTGGCCTAATGGTATATCTTTTCATCCCCTTTGGTACTTAACACAGGGACCTACTTAAAAGCAGTGCTCAAAAACTGTTAATGAATGAACTACCTCCCCCAACTTCTCCATGCTCTCCACCCAATTTCTATTCATGAGTTATATTTTCTATTGGTAAGTTGTGAAGCACTCTGAGTCTACACTCAATAGAAGAAAATGCATTCCTTAGTAATGACTGGGCACAAGAGAGGAGAGCAACAGTATGTGGAGTACTTCAGCCTGTACTGTCCTCCATTCCTTGGCCCTGGCAGCACCATCCCTTTTTCTTGGCCCGTTCTCACCATTTCCTCTGGAAACAATTTTCTACACCATAGGATTTAGCCACCCTCTTCTCTAATCACTGCAACTGTCCAGTTCCACCTGCCCATCTGTTGCCCATGTGTTCTCTCTGATGCTCAAGGCCAATTTTCTGAAAATGATACAGTCAAGGAGCCAGGCCACCTTTGTCATCCTTTGGTCCTTCCAGCCACACTTTTCTGTAGAGGGGGTGGCACGGGGGGCTGTTTGCAACAACCCCACACCTAAGATCAGGGATGACCCCAAGGTGAAGAGGGGACTGTGCTCAGAATGACTTGGTGAGGATTTAGGAAAACTTTCTTCCCCTTACCAAACATCCCTTCAAATCTGCCAAATATATCCTACCAAGTTTTCAGGATGCCTGAAATTCCCAGCATTCCTTCTGATTGGAGGTTTGACCTCTGGCAGGTCCTTGTTCAGGCACAGCGGGTGCTGAGACACACCGGAGATGGAAAGCTCAAGTGCGAGGCCAGGGGAGGGATAGGGAGGGACAGAAAACTGAGGCTAGGAGCATTCAAAACAAATTTGGCCTCCTGGGCAATGTCACCTAAGGCCTGAGTGGAGCCAATTTCCTACCATCCTGACCCATACAGAGCTTGTTCCACACTTTATCTATAGTCCTCCTTCTGTATCACTCCGTTCACCCAAGAACCTCACCCAGATTCCTCATAAACAGAGAACTTTAAAAAATCTTAAATAATGGTATTTCCCTGGTGATCAGTGACTATAAATCCATGCTCCTAATTCAGGGGGCCCAGGTTCGATCTATGGCCAGGGAACTAGATCCCACATGCCACAACTAAGAGTTTGTGTGCTGTAACTAAAGATTCTGATTGCTGCAATGAAGATCGAAGACCCTGAGTACCACAACTAAGATCCAGCACAGCCAAGTAAATAAATAATAAAAGAATCTTAAATAATGATCTTGGGTAGGAATGAGGGGAACACAAACAGCCCAAGGTAAGTCAGTACATGCTAATCTTTTATTTGCATATATGATATAGTGATGGTTTCTATATTTTATGAGATGATTTTTAAGATTAATTCATATTTGTCCTGTCACAGGCAAGTTTCACAAATGAAAGCCATGCATTCAACAAACCAGGGACTGTCTGGGCTGGTGAGCCCAAGAGAAGAGTTCATGGGAAGCCCATTGGGTGGTGCCTGTTGTTGAGTGGAAGATGTAATGTAAGCAAGTGCAAGAAGAAGAAACAAATGTGGAAAAAAGCTAAAAAGATGATCTCCTATCCACTTAACCAACCACAAACACTGCCGGGCACTGAGGGAGGTTCTAGACATGCACAATGGGGTCCATGCCCTCAAGGAACCTCCACTCTGGCTGGGGTCACCTGGGGTCATCTGAGGTCTGGGGCTGCACTGGGCTTGGAGGCATGTTCCTATTTAGAGATCAGCACAGTTTCTCTCTTGCTGATTTTGTCCGAGAGAGGGAGGAGGTGGAAATGCTGTGAGGAGTTTCTTCCCTTGGAGCTGTTGTGGGTTTTTAATGCTCCAGGAATGGCAGGAGGTCTGCAGCCCTGTGTCCAGGGCATCTTTTATTTGACTGGATAAGAAGGGACAGGCCCACATTGACCCAGCTGAGATTCAATTGTGGTTTCAGTGGTAGAGGGAGGGGAAAAGAGGAGGTTGTCATCCATGAAGAGTGTGGTCAATGAATGTGGAGTGTGGTCACTGGGTTGCAGCTTGCGAGATGCTTCAGCAGTCCAACCCAGATTCCCTTTCTGATAGGATGGATGCCCCTCCGTCTTCCCATTCATTTCTCTCTCTCTCTCTCTCTCTCTGTGCCTCTTCCCTTGGATTCTCTAGGAGCTAGATTAGGAGGAGACTCTGGATTAAAGATTACCCTAGTCTACTGGAGGGTCCAAAACATCACTAGAAATGCAAAGAGACAAACATGATTGTACTGATGAAGTGCTCCCAGGGATATGGCTGTATGTGTTGAAAGGAATACTTAGAGGAGTATCTTGGGATATGAAGGAATGGGATGGGCTGAGGAGACCATGGAGTGAGGTTCTCAAAGGCTGTGCTCAGCAGTGACACAAGATCCCCAAACCTGCCTTCTAAGAAGAGTGGGCTCAAAACTAGCTCTGGTTTGGCGAAGTAGGTGGGTGATGGAGGCCTCCGCCCTTCTGCTCCCTGGGCTCAGTCGCCCTCGGAACAGAATTTGAATACAGTTTTAATAACATCAGCTTGAAGGAGTGCGGGATGATGGGCCTGACCAGAAGCTCATAGGCTTAGCTCTGCCCCCATAGCTATCTGTCTCCTTCCTTCTGCTCTTCCTTTCCTCCATGGTGAGTGGTGGCCCCGCCAGTTGATTAGCAAGTCCACAGGGGTTTTATCCCTTTACAACTGCACCAGCCAGCCCTCCCCAACAGATGCTACAGGCCTAATTCTAAAAACTAGACCCTCACTATTCCATAGTCAGGTCAAACTCCTTCAAGACTGGCTGCCCAGAGGCAAAGAGATCACTGAAACTGCAGCAGGAACTTCAGGGGAAAATGCTGTATAAACTTTCTAAGCTCTAGATGAGGGCTATACTGTTGTTTAGTTGCTATGTCATGTTTGACTCTTTGCGACCCCGTGGACTGTAGCCCGCCAGGCTCCTCTGTCCATGGGATTTCCCAGGCAAGAATACTGGATTGGGTAGTCATTTCCTTCCCCATGAGATCTTCCTGACCCAGGGATCAAACCCGTGTCTCCTGCATTGGCAGGCAGATTCAACAAGCATGTGTTGAATGCCTGCTAAGTGCAAAGTCTTGCTCAGGGGACTGTGGAAGTCTCTGGAATTCCCATTTTCAAGGGGTTGGAGCCAAATGTTCTTAACTGGGGTGCATGTCAGAATCACCTAGGGAGCTTTTCCAAACACCCTACTCCAGAGTGAGTCAGGCTCACAGGTTGGGATCAGGTCTGTGGGGTAGGGGAAGCTCAGAGGGTGGTCTTCCTCTACGTCCTTTGATGTGAAGCTCTGGGTTATTGTAAGAAATGGGCAGTGTACCACTAAATAAAAAGGATGGGCAAGGCAAGCCACTGCCACAGAGAGAAGCAGTGTGCTCTCAGAGTGGAGACTAGCAAAGAAAAGTTAGTACTGATAAAGAGGCAGGCTGGGGCAAACAAGGTGGAACGTGTCACAGGGTCCTGGCAGCCCCAAAGCACATCAGAAGATGGGCGGCAGCTGTCACTGTTTTCCCACACGCAGTACAGTGACAGGACACCAGGGCCCTGCTTGGCCAGGTCCCTGCCATCTGGGAGTTTGCAGTGTGATGGGACAGGGAGATCAGACATCCACGGGTGCAACTACAAGACACTGGAAGATGACAAATGCTATTTCAGAGGGGACAAGCAGAGTGCCTGCGCACCAAAGAGACTGTTCTCCTAATGTACAGGTTGTGGGTGCCTTCCTGAAGGTGCTGGTGCTTCAGCTAGGGGCTGAAGGTTAAGGAGTGGAAGGCCCAGCATGACAAAGGACCAGAGGAGACTGGGAGAAGGGTGTCTGGAAAAGGACCAGTGTGGTCTTTTGTGGTTGGGTTCTAGGCTGCTTGGGGGTGAAGATTTATGTTGGATCAAAATCAGATGTGAGAGTTGGACCATAAAGAAGACTGAAGGCCGAAGAATTGATGCTTTTGAACTGTGGTTCTGGGGAAGACTCTTGAGAGTCCCTTGGACTGCAAGGAAATCAAACCAGTCAGTCCTAAAAGAAAGCAACCCTGAATATTCACTGGAAGGACTGATGCTGAAGCTGAAGCTCTGATACTCTGGCCATGTGATGCAAAGAGCTGACTCATTGGAAAAGACCCTGATGCCAGGAAAGACTGAGGACAGAAAGAGAAAGGGGTGACAGAGGATGAGATGGTTGGATGGCATCACTGACTCAATGAACCTGAGTCTGAAAAAATTCCAAGAGGTAGTGAAGCAGGGGGAAGCCTGGCGTGCTGTAATCCATGGGGTCGCAAAGAGTCGGACACAACTTAGCAACTGAACAACAACAAAAATTAGAAAGAATGGAAAAGTTAGTTGACACCAGATTGAAGGGGCCTTTATTTATATACAGATAAAGCCTATGGTATTTGGGCTTTATTTGAACATAATGTGAGGGTTTTGAAGTGCCGTGATATCAATGCAGAGGACACTGGAGGGGAAAGAAATGAGTAGCAGGAAGATGCTGAGGATATAAGGCTGTTTGGGGAGGAAGCAACAGGCATGTGAGAGATACTGGGAAGGTAACATCAACAGGACTTGGCCGTGGGCGTAGAGGAAAGGAAACGCGGGGCTCCAAGATAACCCAGCTCGTGGGGAAAGCTGGCAGCATCAATCAGGAGCAGGAGAACACTTTAGGTGGAACGTGATGAATCAGAAACGTCAGCTCAATATCCACTTGGAGAGGAGGAGGTGTTGGAGGAATCTTCACCCTGGATGCCTTCAGCAAGGTGGGCGTTTAGTCATCTGGGCCCTCAGAGCTCAACTGTTGGCACCTGGAGGTTAGCATCTGCATCGCATTCATTTTTACAGCTTCCACGTAAATGCCTGCAGAAGGCGGTACTTACTGCATTCATTCTTTCAATAAAAGATTTACAGACTAAATATTCAACCACTTCATGTGCTAGAAACTGGAGCTATGGTACAGAGCACATCTCCGGTCCAGCTGTGGGAATTCAGAGTCCAGATCTCACTCTGACTGTGCTTGTTTGCGGGTGTGATCACTTCTACAGACAGTCCCATCCGGAGCCACCACCTCCAACACTGGGGGACAGTCCTACAGTCAGGGAGGGAACACCGTCTCGCCAGCAGCCTAGAGCTGCACAACTGAATTCCAGACCCTCGCAAGTCCTGAAGGATGCTCCTTTCCCGGAAGCCTTTCATATTTGAGAGTCTCCTGACCTGAGCAAAGATGAGAAATCCGTGTCTGAATGAAGGAATAAAGGAGAAAAGAGTTCCTCAGAATCTAAGAAGCATTTTTCTGGATGGCAATGTAAGATTTCCAGGTGGGGAACTTCTCCGCAGAAGAGGGGGCCCATAGGACCCCCTGGTGTAACATACCGCTGTCATCCCCCAGCCTCAGCTCTAGCGTTTCCCAGCCGCGTGCCCTCTCCCTCCTTCCTGCCCCACCAAACTCCCCTTCAATAGAAGGAGATGCCCTCGTAGGTGAAGGCACCTGGGGGGTGAGGTGACGGAGGAAGGCTGGGCGCCTGCTGCCGGCAGAGCCAGAAGCGCCGGAGCAGACTTTTGAGGTGCCTGCGGAACTTGACCCCGACGAAGACGTAGAGCACCGGGTTGAAGCAGCAGTGGGAGAAGGCAATGTTGCGGCAGATGAGCAGGGCATAATCCAGCTGCTGGCTGACCTCGCAGCTCTGAATGACCCCCAGTTTCAACAGTGTCTGCAGGAAGAGGATCAGGTTGTAGGGAGCCCAGCTGAGGAAGTATGCCGCCACGATGGTGAAGATGAGCCTCACGGTCCGGTGGCGCCGTTTGGACCGCGAGCGGAACAGGGTCCTGAGGATCTCCACGTAGCAGAATAGGATGACCCCCACAGACAGCAGGAAGATGATGTTGTGCTGGTAGACAGAGGCGAGGAACCACTCGAGTTCTGCATAGTCACAGCCCGAAGGGAACACCTTGTGGGAGATGGCATCGGGGATGGAGGACAGGATGCTGGCCGCCCACACGGCGGCGGTCACCAGCACACGGCGCTGGAGGGTGTGGACGCGCAGGGATGAGATGGGACTCACCACCGACAGGTAGCGATGGATGGTCATGATGGTCAGGAAGGAGATGCTGCTGTAGAGGCTGATGGAGAAGACCATGTTGAGGAGCTTGCACAGAGCATCTCCCAGCACCCAGCCCCAGTGGTACCCCGAGATCCACACGGGCAGCAAGCAGGAGAACACCAGGTCTGAGAGGCACAGGTTAAGGATGAAGACGTTGGTGAGGGACTCCAGGCTCTCATACTTCACCAAGACCCACAACACCAGGCTGTTGCCCACCATGCTGAGAAAGAACACCAGGCAGTAGAGGATGGTGGTGCTGATGGTGGCGAAGACGAAGGTCCTCTTCTCACACAGAAAGCTCTGAGGATCATACTCATAAGAGGTGGTGGACTCTGGGATGTCTGAGGGCTCCATCTAGACGCTGAGAGCATCTGAAGTGATAGAGACATGGAGTTCAAAGCCATGTGGTTAGGTACAAAAAGATGTGATCCATGGTCCAGCTACTGGTTGGTGAACTTTATAATGAAATTAGGAACTTGTGAGTAGCACTAAGGTAGACCAGTGTCCCAGGAGGTGTAACAGAAAGACAGTGGAACTGGATATCAAAATTCAGTTCAGTTCAGTCGCTCAGTCGTGTCCGACTCTTTGCGACCCCATGAACCGCAGAACGCCAGGCCTCCCAGTCCATCACCAGCTCCTGGAGTCCACCCAAACTCATGTCCATTGAGTTGGTGATGCCATCTAACCATTTCATCCTCTGTCATCCCCTTCTCCTCCTGCCTTCAATCTTTCCCAACACCAGGGTCTTTTCAAATGAGTCAGCTCTTCACATCAGGTAGCCAAAATATTGGAGAAACACTTGAGATCAAATGTAGGGCCCAATATTGTGTTCTTGGACAAGCTTTTTAACCTTTCTGAACCTTAGGTCCTTATCTACAAAGCAGGGCTAATGGTCCCAGAGTCATTCCTTCATTTATTCAACAAATACCTAGTGAGCATTTACCAATCCTACTTGCCTTCCTGTCTCCTCTCCCTCTGTCCCTCCCTTCCTTTCTTCCTCTGCTCCTTCCTTTCCTTCCTCACTCCCAGAAAGCATAGAAATCCTGACAACAGGATTATTTCAGGACACTTGCGGTCTCCTGGAACCAGTCAAAAAAGAGAAGACACAAACGAAACAAACATCTGTTTCATGCAAATATAATTATGAAAACTAAGATCATGGCATCTGGTCCCATCACTACATGGGAAATAGATGGGGAAACAGTGGAAACAGTGTCAGACTTCATTTTTTGGGGCTCCAAAATCACTGCAGATGGTGATTGCAGCCATGAAATTAAAAGACGCTTACTGCTTGGAAGGAAAGTTATGACCAACCTGGATAGCATAGTAAAAAGCAGAGACATTACTTTGTCAACAAAGGTCCGTCTGGTCAAGGTTATGGTTTTTCCAGTGGTCATGTATGGATGTGAGAGTTGGACTGTGAAGAAAGCTGAGTGCTGAAAAATTGATGCTTTTGAACTGTGGTATTGGAGAAGACCCTTGAGAGTCCCTTGGGCTGCGAGGAAATCCAACCAGTCCATCCTAAAGGAGATCAGTCCTGGGTGTTCATTGGAAGGACTGACACTGAAGCTGAAACTCCAATACTTTGGCCACCTCATGCAAAAAGTTGACTCATTGGAAAAGACCCTGATGCTGGGAGGGACTGGGGGCAGGAGGAGAAGGGGACGACAGAAGATGAGATGGTTGGATGGCATCACTGACTCGATGGACATAAGTTTGAGTAAACTCTGGGAGTTGGTGATGGACAGGGAGGCCTGGCGTGCTGCAATTCATGGGGCTGCAAAGAGTCGGACACGACTGAGTGACTGAACTGAACTGAATTATGAAATAATCTCAAGACTTCAATGAATATTGAGAATCTGGGAGATCAGATCCCCACTAACACAGGATTAACTCCCAAAGCAGAACACTTCCTCGTCCAGGAGTTTGGTTTATAGAATATCTTATGAGCAAGTGGAAATAACCTGTGTCCAATAGGAGGTGAGTGGCTAGGAAAACATACAGGCAAGTTGACTCAGTCCTCTGTGTTAGTGAGATTTTAGAAACAGTGAGACTAGAAAGCCAAGGAGACAGAAGAAAGCGGTTGAGGAGCTGGAAATTTCCCTGAGAGAGGCAGCGGAGGCGGCAGGGCCTCAGAGAGGGCTGGGGGACTTGAATGAAGTGGCTACCCGGAACAGTATACTGTAAGAGCTCTCAGCACCCGCTCCGTGCCAGGCACTGTGCTGACTCGCAGCACTCATCTGCTCCCTCCATCCTGCAGCGCTGTCTCACAAGATGGGACCATTTCCACTTTACAGAAGAGGAAATCAGCTCAGACTGGTAAAACAACCATCTCAATGTCACAAAGCCAGGAAACAGCAAGGAAGGCCAACACTAGAACCCAGAGTCTATGTCCTTGTATTTTGAGGAGAAGAGCTGGAGGAATAGTTTCCCATTTTCCAGTTTGGGATAAGAGGACTAATAAGGAAGGGAGGGAGTCTCAAAATTTATCCTATTTTAGGTAGGTAAGTCAATTTGCCTCTTGAAACACCAAAGTGAAGATAACTGAAATTATTAAGATGGTTGTTTTGTTTTATATTCTTTTAATATATAGCGGGGATACATATAGTTTTGCATGTTTACTGTCCACTTTTGGTTCTTATTTTTAAAGTACTTATGGATTTTATTTATTTTTCTACTTGAGATAATATTGTTTTCCTTCTGGATTTTAAGAGCCCTTTACTTAAACTGGTCAACCCATTCTGCTTTTAATCATGTCTCATGGTCTTATTTTTTTGACATTTGGAAATTGAGTGCTTACATTTTAAAGAAGAGTTTATCTGACTCAATACAACAGCCCATAATGATCAGTGACAGACACCAGGCACTATGATAGATGTTGGATTTTAGGGTGTGAACATAACAGTTTCTATCTATAAGAAGTTTACAGTTTCCTGACAAGTTGAAGTGGAGTTATTTTGGGATGGGAGTTTGTTAGGCACACTTCCTGTCATACAAAGCCCAAGCTGGTAATTTGGAAAAAGTTTTAAAAGAGGTACTAAAACATAGAAAAAGCAAGAGAATTCCAGAAAAACATCTACTTCTGCTTTATTGACTATGCCAAATCCTTTGACTGTGTGGATCACTACAAACTGTGGAACATTCTTAAAGAGATGGGAATATCAGACCACCTTACCTACCTCCTGAGAAATCTGTATGTAGGTCAAGAAGCAACAGTTAGAACTGGACATGGAACAATGGACTGGTTCCAAATTGGGAAATGAGTACGTCAAGGCTGTATATTGTTACCCTGCTTATTTAACTTACATGCAGGGCATATGATGTGAAATGACTGACTGGATGAAGTTCAAGCTGGAATCAAGATTGCCAGGAGAAATATAACCTCAGATATGCAGATGACACCACTCTAATGGCAGAAAGTGACGAAGAACTTAAGAGTCTCTTGATGACGGTCAAAGAGGAGAGGGAAAAAGCTGGTTTAAAATTCCACATTCAATAAACTAAGATCATGGCACCTGGACCCATCACTTCATGGCAAGTAGAAGGGGGAACAATGAAAAGTGACATTTTATTTTCTTGGCTTCAGAATCACTGCAGATGGTGACTATAGCCATGAAATTAAAAGATGCTTACCCCTTGGAAGGAAAGTTGACCTAGACAACATATTAAGACAAACCTAGACAGCATATTAAAAAGCAGAGACATTACTTTGTCAACAAAGGTCCATATAGTCAAAGCTATGGTTATTCCAGTAGTCATGTACAGATGTGAGAGCTGTATCATAAAGAAAGCTGAGCACTGAAGAATTGATGTTTTTGAACTGTGGTGTTGGAGAAGACTCTTGAGAGTTTCCTGGACTGCAAGGAGATCCAACCAGTCAACCCTAAAGGAAATCAGTCCTGAATATTCATTGGAAGGACTGATGCTGGAGCTGAAACTCCAATATTTTGGTCACCTGATGCGAAGAACAAACTCATTGGCAAAGACTCTGATGCTGGGAAAGACTGGAGGAGAAGGGGACAATAAAGGATGAGATGGTTGGATGGCATCACCAGCTTGATGGACAGGAGTCTGAGCAAGTTCTGAGAACTGGTGGTAGACAGGGAAGCCCGCAGTACAGCAGTCCATGGGGTCGCAAAGAGTCGGACATGACTGAGCAAATGAACTGAACTGAGCTGAAAACTCTAGCCAGACTGAGAACAAAAAGAGACAACACAGATTGTCAATAGCAGGTATGAAAGAGTGGTTATTGCTACGGGTCTTACAAACTTTCAAAGAACAACAAAGAAATATGATCAATTTTAACCAATTCAACACATAATATGAAATAGAAAGACTTCTTTAAAAATTCAACCTACTAGAACTGACATGAAATGATATGACATAATCCTTCCTTTATTCCAGAAACTTTTGACAATTCTAAAAAAACTAAGAAACTATTCTACAAAGAAAACTTCAGAACTAGATTTTTCTAGTGCATTCTGTCAAACATAGAAGGAAGAAATAACACTGATCTTATACAAACTATCTGAAATACAGGATGGAATAGTTCTCAAATTGTTTTATGAGACCAACATAACCTTGATACCAAAACCCGACAAAAATTACAGTAAAAGAAAACTATAGACCAATAGACCAATATTTCTCATGAAAACAGACATAAGAATCCTTAACCAAATATTAGCAAATCAAATCCATCAATATATTTTAAAAGGTTAATACATCATGACCTAGTGTTTATCCCAAAAGTATGAAGTTGGTTTAAAATTTGAAACTCAATCAATTTAAGTGACCATAGTAAGATGAAACTATATGATCCTTTTTGACAAATACAGAAAAGCATCTGACAAAACTCAACAACAATTCACGATATAAACTCAGCAAACTAGAAATAAAAGGGATATCAGGCACCTACAAAAAAAATCATTCCATGTTTTGTCGGTTATTAATACATTTACTCAAGTTTTCAGAGGTGCTCCTGGTCTGGGCCTACTGGGCCTTGGGCACAGAAAGGAGAATGGTGCCAAACCCCAAGCTTCTCAGAGTTGCATTCTAGGGGTTCCCCACTTCAATTCTAACAGAGCAACTTTAGCTTTCTGGTCCACAGTACAATTTGGATTGAGAAATACAGCTCTAAATTATTCAAACACTAATAATATGTAATGCCTTACATAAAGATTTATAAACAAACACCTCCCCTTTCTTTAGCACAAGGAAAAGTAAATGATTATGTATGACAGTCCTACTCAAAGCATGGTCTACTGACATGCTTTGTAGCATTGCAGATTTTTGGGAAAACCCAGATTCAGGGAATCAGAGCCTCTGGATGGAGGGCTCAGGAATCTGCATTATTTACCTGGTCTCCAGGTGC